GATGGGAGATGGTTCCTAGGCCATTGCTGTGAAGGGGTATGTGGGATGTAAATTGAAATTCTGCAGCTCCCGCTCAGTTTTAATATTTATTATTGAGAATAACAAATGGTGCTTAAACTGCACTTTGGAGTTTCAAAGCACTTTATAAACATTAATTAATATCTTAACACATCATCTCTCTCTGGTGCTCATCTGGCGATGCATCAAAAAATTACAACCAGACAGGAAAAAGATTACTATTTTAAACACAACCAAAGGAACTTAAACCAGGAAGAATGAGCAAAAGAAATAGATGGGGAAAAACAAACTGCTGCAAAACTAAGTCATGCGCAGAGTTCTTACCAGCCTTCTGCCCAATGGCCAGAGCCGCAGCATAAGAAGTGGTATAAACCAGATTTGCCCTTTGCAATATTTACTCCACAGTCCTCGGTGACCATCAGTTCTAAAGTTTTGCACTAGTGAGTGAAGATCTGGGCCCCTCAAAGTGTGTCCCAGAACTGCCTGCTGTCCTCCAGAATAGCAGAGCGCAAGACCAAATGGAGGGTCTGCAGCTGTTTATTGCTGGTGAATGCAACAACCACCAATTTATATTCATCTATCAAGGAATATGCAAGTGGAAGCAAATATTATGGTCATGTTCATTTGTTTCTGATTACAAAATGTATGTAAATGCATATGCAAATTAAGTGCACCCATCAGGCTCATGGCAAAGTGCCAAATTAGCCCTTAGTATTACAAAGTTTGGGGTGGCTGGCAGGGAGATACGGAGATTGCAAGTGAGGCTAGGCAGTCCCTTTAGATGCAGCCAAAACTGGGCTGCTCCGAAGGGGCAGGTGGAGGATAAATCCTGCAGTAACTTGTCTCTTTAAACGAAGCTGAGGGGCTATAGAAAAATCTGTTCCCGCTGCAGTTAAAAGTGTGATAATTACAGAGCAACGGGCTCCTCTGTCATTCAGCAGGCAGCATCCCCAGGAAATCTTGCTCTGTAATCAAGGGAAGAGGTGCAATCAGGCCCCTATTCAGGCTTCGTTTAGAAACAGCCCCTGCAGGCAACACAAAGGCTTCAGCATGGTGCTTTGTGAAGCTGGTGATCACATCAACGTCTTGGTTCTGCAACTACAAGCAGAGTTAATGCCATTTCTAAGCACATCTTCTGTTCACCTTTTCTCACTAAGTCCAGAAGGGGCCTAAGGAGAGGAGTGAGGTCTTGGGCCAAAATACGCTTGTACATACGATGTTGCAGTCACACTGTCCACATTAGCGAACTCGCTCTCTGCACTGCGATGTCGGAGGAAGAGAGAATTTCTTGCAGACTAAGGAAGGCAGCGTGATCCTGAATGAGCCAGATAGGAACGTGCTCATCTGGCTGCTACAGCAGCACAGTTTTCAAAATTTGCATGGGGAAGGTTTTGTTGTTTTGTTTTGTTGGTTTTTTTCTCAGTGACATGAATGTATCTGTGCTGCTCAAATTCTACAGGAAGCTCATTCTCTTGGCAGCAGCCTGATCCCACAGAGACTGATGAGGTTTATTAGAGGGGAAGGTGTCTCTGACTTCAGCTTTCATGTCTAATGCCACCATTGCCCAGAAACATACAAATTAACTGCTACTCAAATCAGCCATCCTTTGTACCCTACAGAGCTGTCAGATTCAATAAATGAGTTTACCCCAACTGCAATAAAAATAGTATCACATTTTATTCAAAACAGCCAAACCTTCCAAAGTGTGCACACATTTGCACTCCCACTGTATACACTCAGGCACAGAAGCTGTACTTCTCATTGACCAGCAATGACCAGCTCAGCTACCCATCTGGGCTTGTAGCTACTATGACATACACAATCCTACTAACTCTGTCTGGGTGCACATTAAATGCCAAAAATCTTTCTGCACACCGGGGGCACATTCTGGACAGGACTGACAGTTTTGTCTCAATATGGAATGGTTCTTCTCTGCTGAGGTTCACCATAACTGGAACTGCACTTTGCGTTACAGTAACCCCTAATACTGTAAATGGAGCTTCATTCCATCACAGCACAGGATCAGCAGATTCCACTCCCTATTTCTTTCTTATTTCTCTGGCCACAGTATAAACAAGCTTGCTGTGGGTTTTACCATCTGCAGACATAGGTATCTGTCAATAGCCAAGTAATGGCCTGGACACTGTCAAGAGAAGTCATTATTAAAAATGTACATATTGCATTTAGCTGTTCAAACAGAAGTTGTTATTGATTGGATCCCATCAGTTCCCAGTAAAAGAGCCAACTCTGGTGACGAAATGAAAATATGCACACAGACTACAGACTAGCAAATACCGTAATAGAGTTAAGGTTTCCCCCCCAAAAAGGGAGTTGTTGATATCCAGTTGAAAGAGCAATGTCTTTTTCAAAAATGAGACTAGGAATAAAACAACCACATTACATCTGCAAATATCCAGAAGCAGGACAAGGAAACAAACCAAAAGGGAACAGTTCTGACCAAAAACATCTCAATCTCTTGGGAAAAAAGCAAACAAAGAAAATACAAGTTAGTTAATGGCCAATCAAGCCATAGGCAGGGAGAGCCTGCATCCAGTTCTGCTGTTCCTACCACATCCTCCTGTTCATCCGTGGATGTTCTGCCACACTCACGGAATTGAAAGAGACCGTCTTCGGAGTTTGCTACATTTTTCCAAGTCAGATAAAAAGGAAACTATACTTAATCTGGTCCCTGTTTTGTTTCCTTGTCACTTTTTTTCGTCTGCTTCTTTCCACTTACTAAACAGCTTCTCTTCTGTTTTTCCCTTTCTTTTCACAATCTGCACAGACACTGTAACATTTTTGGATGACAGCATTTAACACGCAGAAATCACCACTGCTGCAGCATAATGGAGTGAGAAAACAAGGCTGATTATAAAATTCTAACATAAACCAAATATACACCACAAAGTAATGCAAGACAAAATTGAAGAACCAGACAAGGTAACGAGTGTTTGTGGAAATCTCTGCATTTGTTCCATTGGAAAAGTTCTCTGCACAGCATCTTATGCGTGAGTGAACAGATCACAGCTAACAGTGAGTTAAAAAGGTTTACTAGAAAAGGTACATCGTGACAAACTTCTTTGCTCACCCTTAATAGAAGGTTGGGCTGGAAACTGATGAATCAGTATAGGAAACAAACAGCAATGGTGACGCATGGCTTCAAAAGGTAACAATAGCACTGCTTGATCCGTGATGTCTACAACAGAAATATCCCTGGATTCATTAGAAGACGGATTTCAAATTGTTCCACCCACCCTGGAAATGCAGAAATTCCACCACCCGAGCCCTAGTTAGAGCTCTCACGATAGCCCCACAGGTACACAGAAGCTTTGCTCACTTACAGTATATTCTCAAGACGTTCACTGAAAACCATACGCTGTTGATGTCTTCAGCAGCTCCCCGTGGAGTCTGGATCCATTAGCCCAGCAGTAGAAAGAGACTTACATCTTTACGTTTCAGAGCCCACATGCCTGTGTGGCTCTCGTAATCTTCCATTACCCAAAACTGGCATTTAGACATGAGGTATGTTTGTTCTGTAAATGTATGAGGATCAGGCCCAGAAGCCCAGCTGCCGAAGTGCCTGGTAACACCCAGCAGTCTCTCCAGCTCCACATAACTCATGGCTCAAGCACAGAAAATAGTTCTGGCTCATTATTGGTTTGGACCTGATCGGTGCAGAGCCAGTAGTCAGGAAGAATTCCGGTGTTCAGCACTTCACAGGCTCGCACCTCCTATCTAATGGTCACGTACTGTTACTGTGATATTTGAATATAAAGCCAAATTTTCTGTTATCATTAATAGCACCTTAAAATGAATGGACATATGGATGTCATGTTTATTTTCCAAACTTTCCCTCCCTATAAAAACATGTTTGCTTCTCCATCTATGCTGTAAACGGAGAGCTGTATTCACATATTATTTCTGTAGGGCTTTTTGCTTAAATATCAACAGTATAGGGACTTTATTTTCAGCACTTCTCACATTCTACATATGAAATTCCAGTTAGTCTATTTTCATTGCCAAAAAAAGTAAACAAATTCTGCTTGTGATAAGATATTATTGCACGTATTTCCATTTTGACAAAAGTTCAGTGTGGTTTTTTTTTCCTTGAGATTGGACACTTCTTGCCCAGGTTTCATTTTTGGCTTAAGCTCAAACTGCTGTGTTTAAACCTAAATGTCATAAAAAAATGCTGTGATGAGATTCTCAAATTCACACTGGGATTTTCAGTCCACTTACTTAAGTCTCTTGTACATACAGAGTTCATTACCATTACACTGCTGAAGACCAAGGAAATACACTTTATTGTGTGGTTTGCATGACTTAAACCTGGACTCAAACTTTAAGAGAGAGTATGAAACAGCGCAAAAACACTCAAATCCCTCTTCCCTTTGCCATACTAAGTAAGATCGTTCAGGAGGTCCCAAAGCAATCTAATCAAGGATGGTAAAACAATCAAGGTGCCATTCAGCAATTAGTACGCAAGCAATTGAGAGAGAGCATGGAGCTTCCACAAACTAGCAGCAGCTAACATCAAAGATGGCCTAACTTTTGCAATGTCCTGTCAATCAGTTGTGTTAGCCATCCATACATGGCCCCTGTTTACCAAAACTTCACTCAGTTCTCAGGGGCACAGGGAATTCACCCAGATAGCTAAGGTAACTTCTTACTGCTGCTTTTACCGACACCAACATAGGGTTCTGTATTTACCAATTTGTATTTTCTACCCTTATTAATAAGTTGCTGAAGAAAATCTATCCATGCTACAAATGCAGCGTGCTTTCAGAAAGGCACTTTTTGCAATTGCTCATGCTTTCCATCTACTCCCACTTCATTAGTTCCAGCTGGAAAAAGAATGGTGGAACATTAATTCCTCTGATTGCCACCAGCACTGACAAGAGCTCAGTAGTAGCCCTGCTAAGTGACAAATTAACCCTTTGGGTATGTAAAGATCAATGGGAAGCAGGGAAGTATTCTCTTACCTTCAGAACACAGCTTGCCAGCATATCCAGTGGCTGAGCAGTCACAGTGTGGCTCACCATCCAGAAGGAAGCAAGTGCCACCATTTTCACAGGGGTTTTCTGCGCAGAGCCCTTCCATTTCCAGTCGGACCCCTTGACTGCCCAGGAGCTGTGGCTCAGAGTTGCCGTATTTCAGATCCAGGATAAACCCTTGAAACGGAGGCTCGCTCAGAACACCATCAAGGGTCAAGGCAGCAGGACGGATGTCCAGTGGGACTCCACCAACAAAAAGGTCACTGACAATATTCATATATTGACGTTGTGGACGCACCTCGCCCGGCTTGGCTTCACCATCCAGCACTAGCACCGTCCGAAGGTGATTGCGGCTGACCATCAGGAAGTGCCAGTTGCTGTCATTGACCTGCTTGTCTGTGATAACTGTAGTCTCCGCACAGTCCACACTGAACTGGAGCTGGATGCGCCCATCAACGAGGGACAGACAGAGGAAGTCACAGACACCACCATCATCAAAGTAGAGGAGCAGCCCAGCAGAGACATTGGTCTTGAACTGGAAGCTGAGTTCACTCCTAGTGCTGGCATCCCAGCGGAGGTAGCGGGCCCACTGGTTGGGGATGCCCATGAACTCCAGACCCAAACAGAGACCCAGCAAGGAGCACAGCAGCAAACTCACCTTCAAGGTGAAGTAGATGGAGTGCAGAGTGAAGCCCATTGTTTCAAGAATCTTCTCTTCCCTAGGAGGAAAATAAAAGCCACACTACTGGGAAGAGAACCCCAGCAGTCAACACCAAATGTTAAATCCAATGGGAAGAGGAGGAGAGCACAGAGAGTGACAGAGAGAGGGAGAGTAAGTGAAAAGTGAGATAGCAAGTGCACGTGACCAAGAGGAAACGTGTCCTCCCTAAGGAAAGATCTCAATTATCCTTTAGGATCCAGAGGCTTTTATCTCAGAAGTACATGGTATATGAAGTGACTTCTCCAGCCGGTGTACTTTTGTGAAGGGCAAAGTAACCACAGTGGTTTGTTTTGGTATAACACAAAGGTGACACTGGTTGTTCCACAGAGGAAGGAAAGGCGGAGCTGAAGCCCAAGCCTCAAATTCTCTTTTCCTAGAAATGATGACAATATTGACGGAGGTGGCAGCAAGATGGAGGAGAGAGTGAATTCATAAAGCACGTGATCCTCAAGAGGGCAAAAATAAGGTCAATCTTCATGATGCACTGGTGGCTACCCAGCCCATAATTCACTGCTTGGCAATCACAGAGCTTGCAGGACCTGTGGGGTCAAGAGAAGAAAAAGAAAGAAAAAAGTTAGTCCTACTACTCACCATTTCTTTACCATGAAGCCTATTAATATCTTGTCCAGTAACTCTTTTACATTTCTCGATACTTTAGCCACTTCTTCATGCCTACAGTTGGCTAAACAGTCCTCCAAAGCAGCAAGGACACCTATGTCCACAAAACAAGGAGGACCAAATAGAGAATTCACCATGAGATCTGCACACACCACAGTGTTGAGCAATTTAAAAATACACCACCAAATTATTTAACTCCTTTCATGGATGCAAAGTGCTTGACTTTACTGAGAGAAATGGTGCTAAAGCTTCCTCAGTAACAACGACCTCTCAATGAAAATCCTTAGGGCAAAGACCAGGGTTCCTTGGAGTATAAGAGTTGATACAGGGCAAGAGAGGCCATTATCCAAACTTCCCATTCCACTGTTTTCATTACTCTTCCTAGCACACCAAGCAAGCATTAGAGAAGACAACCCTGCTGTCACCCTGTCATCCAATAGCTGCTTTTACTTTACATGTCGTGCACACTTCAGAGATTCTAACAGGGACCTTTGCAACGTGGAAACATGCGCTATGCAAATTACATATGGCAACCTGCAGCTCAAATGATAGGAAACTTGTAGCTTAGATGATAAGAACTATCTAAGCACTTAACCACTTACCCTGGTCTAGTGGTTTAGCAAAAAGGCCAAATTCACCCCTAGCTAACAGTGAGCAATTCCAACTGCCTTCAGTGAGCAGGAGTTACAGCTGGTAACACTGGGATTTAATTCACCTCTGCCTATTTGCATGTGGGTGACTGTATGCCTGGGGTAGGAGGATGTTTTAAGACGAGAAGTAAAGACAGCACAAAGCTAGGCTCATTCTTTGAAAATCCTGCTTAAAATGAAACTAAGTTTTCGACTAACACAGGTGCCTGTTCACAGGGATGGGTTGGGCATGAGAACAGCTCTGTGAATGGCTAACATTAGCATCGATACAAAGCAGAAAAGGAGGTGATGAGAATCAAGGCCTTCAACCCCCCAGAAGCCAGCATGAACAGAGATTTCACAAAATGGATCACAAATATTGCGAGACAGTATTTTCTTGGGAAACATTTATTGTGCTGTGAACAAGGAGAGTTTCTGGGGCTGCTGTTGCTCCCAGCAGATGCCTTTCAACCCCACTGCCCACATCGCTCTGAAGGAGGAGGCCCATGGACACTGCAGAAACGAGCAGTGAAGAAAAGTTTCTGTTTGGTAAGGGCAGAGGTTGAGCTGGAGGAGAATCACTAGGCAACGGAGGGGAGAGCTCACACAGTCACAAGCCTCTGCCCTACCTGTCCCAGGGACCTGCAGAAGCCATAAGTCTCCAGGGCTATCAGTCTGGCAAATTTAGCCAGCACAAAAAAACAAGTCACTTAGAAAACAAAAGGGATCAATTAAAAGAAAAGCTGCAAGTTGGAGAGAAACGTGAGCTTTCAGTACCTGGTGGAAACTAGGCCTGTTCCCTGCAGCTGACTGAGTGGAGCTTGTTAGCTAAACTGCTATAAACACAAATAAAATCAAGTCAAAACCAGAGGGAAGATAATTCTTTTTAATTGTTAACAGCTTGGCTCAGGAGAATGGAAGGAGGAAAAAGGAGGTGCTAGGAGAGGTGTAAAATGAGAAATACCACAGATCCAAATGCTTAAATCACCTATCTTCCCAAGAATCCTGATGTTGACTCAGTTTATGGGGGTTTTGGGGGGCTTTGAAAAAAAATGGGGGGGAGAGGGGGATTCGTGGCTGTTGTTCATTTACCTTTTCTCCTCTGTGCTCCCTAGTGGCTCCACTAAAATAGCCCATGATTTATGGAGAAGGAGAACAGAGTGAGAGGGAGGTAAGAGAGAAAGTGATGACCCAAGCCTGGAATTATTGATGAGATGGGAATAGGAATATAATAATGCGTGTAAATTAGCCAGCAATGTGCTCCCAGCAGCTCACAGTTCCCTGGAACATTTAGCACCACCATAGCAAAATTCACTGCTCCATCAGACAGCTCTGTGCTCAGCCTGAGCTGGAGAGGGAGGCAAGCCCAGCATGGCACCAACCACCCCAGTGCAGAGGGGCTCTCACTGCAGCTTTCCATTCTCCTGGGCAGGGTGGGTTGCACCATCTGCATCAGAAGTAGCCCTCAGTTGTACTACTCTTCTCTCCCTGTTTTAGAAGACTAAGTCTTTGAGAACCTGTAAAAGATGCTGTAAGTCACAGCAGCAGGTGTGAACACTCTACAGATAGCCACAGATGAGACACATATGTCCACACACAGCCCAAACGCCTGTCCGAAAAGCCTACTGATCTCTCCCAACCCCAGGCTGCTCAAACTCTATTTTACAAACACAAAGGAATCTCAGTCTCCATGGGTTGCTTCAATCCTTGGGATATTTCAAAGGCACAGTAAAGGGAGCAGACTACCTCTGTGGTACAGATTTCTGTAACATCAATACATGTTCATCAGCAGAGGACAAAGGCCACAGTTAACAAAGGAAACCCGTCAGAAATGGTTAAACAGGAATAGCATTGCTGACTGAGGGAAGCCAAGGCAATCCCTCTCTGTCTGTTTTGAGAGAAGCCAAGGTAATCCCTTTCTAGCTGTTTTGAAAGAACACAGTGCCAGTTCTATTTCAGAAGAGGAAGAAGACACAAACAACATGAAACACAGGTGTCACTTCTGGTTGCTTCATTGCCTTTTAGATACTGCAGCTCAGGTTTTGGGAAGGCTGCCTGCACCCAGCCACAAGCAGGCTGGGGCCATCTGAGGCTCCTCCAGAGCTCCGTCAGCACCCGTCAGTCCTGACCCACAGCTATTCCACTTTTGTGTCTCATGCAGTTCAGCCTGTGGGAGCAAACCTCGCTGCACAGTAGCAGGGTTTTCAAGAAAAACTCAAAAGCCGCAGTGTCCAGGATCTGAATCCCAACGTCAAGAGAGTAAGTCCTGACACAACAAATCTGTGCCTCACCCATTTCCCACAATGATCCTCCAAGACACACTGAGAACAAATAATTTTCTGCTCTTACCATTTTATTTTTAGCATAAGTACTACCTTAGCAGCCTCGTACAGCACACTGCTACCATAGCAATACATTACCGTTTGGGACAATAACTACAGAATCCCATGGCATTTTCTTATACATTTTACCTCTGAGAGATCTCAAACTTTGTCACCACATGATAACATCTGACAAAAAAAAAAAAAATACTTCATGACGGACACTGCCTCTTCCAGTCATGAATTAGCAACACCGCTGTTCCAATTCCACCTATTGCTCACATGGAAAAGCAACATAATGAGTATTTTCCATGTTATATTTTTGGCTGAATGTGATTTAGCAACACAAAACAAGACAGGTAGTCTGATGTGATTAGCCCTTCAACAAACCACTAGGCAAGGTCTTTGCAGAGCATTTTAAATACTTGCTACCCTGAAGGAATGAGGGAGCCAGCAAGCTATCTCCATCGCACCTCCAGCCGCCTGTACCACCTCCCTGACCTGCCGGAGAGCTGAGACAGCAAGGAACCTGCACACTGAACAGACGGCTCAGCATCTCGCACACACAGAACCCACTGTAGGAAACACACTCACTTGTACTATTGAAACGTCCCACTCACAGGGCTGATAGAGCTGCACAATTTTCCAAGCTGGGGAAGGGAGGCAGGCCCACCGCAGTGCCATGGGCAAGTGTTACCCAACCACCACCCACCTTCTCAAACTTGAGAGCAGCCTATTAATGCCAGGTCAGAGCCATCTGCTCAGCAGCCCATGGAGAGGGTCTCACCCTTGCTTTGGAGTGGCTCTCAACTGCTTATCAGCTGTATGCAGATAGTGAGTGACATTATCTAATTGCCAACTAATTTCCATAATTACTGACTGGCACACTCTGTATGCGGGGTTAATATCTTTGCAAAAGTCTCGCAACACACCTGCTTAGGAAAGAGGGTGAAAGCTGGGCACAGTGCTGCTCCGCAGCTTATTTACCCAACCACACAGGAAGGTTGCAGGGGATGGGTTCGTCACTCCATGCCCTCCCTCCTCCACTACCTCCCTCTCTGGCTGCTAATTGCTTGGGGATGGACTTTTTTGTATTTGAAAGTGTAATTTTCAGCAATTCCTAGTGCATAAAGAATAGAAGAGTTAGATGAAGCCAAGGACAGGATGGCTTCCCTCGCAAACCCCTGCCACTGCAGCCCTGCAAGCCTGTGTAAGTCTTGTTATTCCACTAAAGGATGCTGGACAAAATCCCACTGACACACTGATGGGAAGGGTTTACAGTCCCCCTATCTGCCACCCCCCTTCCACAACCGAAACTATTATTATGTCATACTCCGGGGGGGGTTTTTTTGGGGGAACATAAACATACATTGGTCACCTAGGATCCATGGGAACTCACCCTTGTCCT